AAAAAACTGTTGCTTGGTACTTTATGCTAAGGGAAAAAAGTGGATATTTTTTCATTTTTCCTCCTGGAATAGTTTATGTTTTATTTTGGTCACTTAAATACGTGTTTATGACTTTAAGAAATAAAGTTGCATCTAATAATCCCATTTAATCTTTTTTTGCATAATTGAAATACAGCTATGCAGTATTTTTCATAATGTGTCATACTGAGCTGTAAACTTGGAAACTGTTGGATGTTGATTTTAGTGCCGATTTTGTTTTTCAAAAATTATTATTTATGAAAAATAAAGTTTTATATTTAGTATTATATTAGAATAAAGTTCTAAAGTGATGTGGCTTTCTTTTGTTTTGTTTCTAATCTTACCGTGATTAGTGAGACAGTCATTTGTTTTCTAGATTGATGACATTGTAAAAGCTGTTGGTAACTGCAGCTACAATCAACTAGTGGAGAAGATCATCTCTTGTAAGCAGTCAGACAATAGTGAGCTGGTTAGTGAAGGTGGGTGAGTGCTGCTATTACCTGACTTTTTAAATTCTTGGCAAGATAATTTTTCTTACAAATTAATATCTTTGAAATTTCTTAAGACTTCTAAAAAACACAAGTGATATTACTTGTAGGAATTTTAAGTAAACCATTTAGGCTGGCCACAGTGGCACCCAGCACTTTGAGAGGCCAAAGCAGGCAGATCACCTCAGGACAGGAATTCAAGATCAGCCTGGCCAACATGGTGAAACCTCATCTCTACTAAAAATACAACAAAAAATTAGCTGGCCGTAGTGGTGCATGCCTATAATCCCAGCTACTCGGGAGGCTGAGGCAGAAGAATCGCTTGAATTGGGAGGTGGAGGTTGCAGTGAGCCGAAATTGCACAACTGTACTCCTACTGCAGCCTGGGCAACAAAGCAAGACTTTATAAGAAGTAATCATTCATAAAGATGCCAGTGAAAGGTTTTTCCTAGAACTCAATTAACTTGTAAAATCAGGCCTGAATTCTATTAAAAATCTTTGGAATCACTTGCTAACTGTGGTATGGTCAGGTACCCGGAGATTACTGATAATTACTTTTTTAAAAAAGATTTGTTCTTTAGGAGTACAGAATGAACTTAATCATTGATCCTGAACACTTCAGTTGACTGAGATGAGTATTATAGTGCTCAAGTATTCTATTTTGGTAGACCTCTGCTTTATGTTTCAGTATAATACAATATATTAAAGCCCCATTCTGGATCAGAGTATACCCGTGCAAATCAGTTTTCCTAACCCTTAGCTAACTGGAGTTCCTAAATTCGTCATCACAAAATCAGTTCAATGTTTTTTCAGCAGTGTTCTAGTCACTGATGAGGAGATTTGAAACAGAATGCTGTCAAAAGGCATAGCATGTAGATATACCTTCCCACTCCCCACTTTACTCTTTCAAAAATACACACTAATACGGAGGCTGTAATTCTTCTTTGTATGAAAGGTATAAGAAAGAGAAATCATGAGAAGTAGGGCATGAGTTTTGTCTCTCTCAGACACACAGTTATTTTACGTGAGATATAATAAAAGTTTATTACAATTATCACATTTTTAAGAATTAAAACATTTATTACAGTTATCACATTTTTAAGAATTAAAATGCTTATTACAGTTATCACATTTTTAAGAATTAAAATGCTTATTACAGTTATCACATTTTTAAGAATTAAAAGTAAAGACTACAAGAATATATGAGCATATAAAAGATATGTACATGAATTCCATTTGTATTGATCAGAACCCAACTAATTATGTTACTTAATTATCCAGAAGTTTAACACATTTTTGCAAAAGAGGAAAATAAGAAGAAGATAAATAGTATTTTAATTGAGGTTTATCCTGCTCTTTTTTTTTTGAGGCGGAATTTCACTCTTGTTGCCCAGGCTGGAGTGCAATGGCACGATCTTGGCTCATGGCAACCTCTACCTCCCGGGTTCAGGCAATTCTCCTGCCTCAGTTTCCTGAGTAGGTGGGATTACAGGCATGTGCCACCATGCCCAGCTAATTTTGCATTTTTAGTAGATATGGGGTTTTGTTATATTGGTCAAGCTGGGAGGTTTATGCTAGTCTTCTGCTTGAAATAAACATATAAAGATAGAGGGACAGGCTGGACATTGTGACACACACCTGTAATCCCAGCCCTTTGGGAGACTGAGGCAGGAAGATCGCTTGAGCCCAGGAGTTTGAGACTAGCCTGGGCAATGTAGCAAGAGCCCATCTCTAGAAAATAAATTAGCCAGACACCTGTAGCCTCAGGTACTTGGGAGGCTGAGGCTGAAGATCACTTGAGCCCAGGAAGTCAAGGCTGCAGTGAGCCAAGATCATGCCACCACTACACTCCAGCCTGGGCAACAGAACAGAACCTGTCTCAAAAAAAAACGAACCAGTATAGGATAATCAATCATTGATTTGTCTGACAACTCTTTCATTACAGCATGATGCAGCAGTGTTCAAATTTCAGGAGGGAAAGAAGCAACAAAAACTGTTACAAAGGATTTTCTCTCAATTAACAAAATTTCTTCTCAAGCTAGAATGTAGGAGGAAGAATTCCACTCACTAGAAGTTTGCATTCCTATACAAGCTCTTATTACCATAGCTGTATTACCAAAAAGAAGCCTATTTTAAACATTTCTATCTATGGAATCCTTTTTCGGTAATGTCCAATATACTAGAGTATGCTATCCAGTAGTACCTGAAGGAACAATAGGATTCAAAAAGTGGTAACAGAATGCTAGCCACCAAGGAATACTTGGATACACTGACTTAAGGAGTATGAAGTTAAGTGAAATGCTGTTAACATCTTTTCCAGTTCTGGCTAAAAATACAATAAGGGTAGGACTTAGTATTACAATAATCAACAAAATGAACAAAAAAGTCAGTCCGTTCTCAACTTCTTTTTCCTTAACCTGATGTCACAACTATTATTATTTATTTGATATCGATTCCTCAGGATAATGAAAAACTGTAGTTAATATATGTGTTATTGATAATTTAGGAAGAACATCATGGTAAAAGCAAAGAAGGAAACACTCTAAAATGGTATAGAATTTTTAGAGATTATCTGCTGGGCATATTTATTGATTACCTCCTTGAGATGTAAATTTCATAATGGTGAAATTCTGCATATCAGATTTACATATTAAAGATTAAAGAATAATTATATGTGTCATTTAGCATAATTAAGAAACTAAACTAGATTTTTGTTCATAAGTAACTGCAACTATGTAGTCCATTTGAAATAACACCAGTGGTTACTTGTATAAGACACTAAGAAATGATGGAAAATAAAAGATCATAATAGGCATGTTTACTTACTTTGTAGCAATTAGCTTTCTCTCATCATTTTTCTTCATCATATCTTCTTTTTTTTTTTTTTGTGAGACAAAATCTGCTCTGTTGCCCAGGCTGAAGTGCAGTGGCACAATCTCAGCTCACTGCAACCTGTGCCTTCTGAGTTCAGGCACTTCTCCTGCCTCAGCCTCCCTAGTAGCTGAGACTACAGACATGTGCCACCATGCCTGACTAATTTTTGTATTTTTAGCAGAGACGGGGTTTCACCATTTTGGATAGTCTGGTCTCAAACTTTTGACCTCAGGTGATCCGCCAACCTCAACCTCCCAAAGTGCTGAGATTATAGGCATATGCCACCATGCCCAGCCTATCATATTATCTTGAGTGGTGCTCAGTTGAAGTAATCTTTTTCTGCTTAGCCTGCAAATTGTAGCTTTCCCTTTAAATCAATAAAATACCCCAAAGCTGACTTATTTCTAATTTTTATTAAAAATTAAATATTGGTCACGTGATAACTTTTTAAAAATTCAAACATTTTATTTCCTATTAAGGCATGGAGAGTAAGAAGTACGTTCACTAAAATTCCTTTTTAAGGAAAAAGAAATGTTAGTTAGCAAATAGCCAAACAGAGTTAGGTATTCTTTCAACTTCTTTTAGATGACATTCATTTTCTTTGATGCTAATACCTTGTAATTAATGGTACAGAACTTTTACGTTATGCAGAATACACTGCTTTTGGATGTCAGTAACTTTTTTCTTTTCTACTTCTTTTCTGGTACAATGATGAATAGAAACAATACCTCTTTGCATCTGGTTATAATGATGCTGATTTTTCATGGCAGCAAAAATCAGCAAATTTGAAAAAGCATAGTACCAGCTGCCAGACTTCACCTGAGCTAATCATTTAATTCCAGATGCTCTCAGCAATGTTTCTTTTTTTTGTTTGTTTGTGTGGGTTTTGTTTGTTTTTGAGATGGAGTCTTACTCTGTTGCCCAGGCTGGAGTACAATAGTACAAACTCAGCTCACTGTAACCTCCACCTCCTGGGTTCAAGCAATTCTTCTGCCTCAGCCTCCCGGGTAGCTGGGACTACAGGTGTGCGCCACCATGCCCAGCTAATTTTTTGTATTTTTAGTAGAGACAGGATTTCACCACGTTGGTGAAGTTGGTCTCGGACTCCTGACCTCAGGTGATCCACCCGCCTTGGCCTCACAAAGTGCTGGGATTACAAGCATGAGCCACCATGCCCAGCCTAGGAATGTTTCTTTAACAATTGTTCCTAAGATGGAAATATGCTTATAAAAATATTTCTAGGATATGTATTTATTTATTCAAATATTTATTGAGCCTTCATTATGTGCCATAAACACCGAACATTATAGTTTGAATTCTTATTTTTTTTTTTATTAAATAATACTGGTTTCCTTTTCTTTTTCTTTCTCCAACTTGTATTTTGAAAACTCTCAAAACCATAAAAAAGTTGTAATAGCGCAATGAACATTGATTGATATCCTCTTTACCTAAATTTACCACTTGTTGATACATTGAATGTTTTCTTTTTTTCTGTATTTCTACACATAACACATACTTTTTTCCCTAAATCTTGTGAGAATTAATTGCAAATAGAGCACTTTACCCATAAATGCTTTATCATTTGTCTACTAAGAACAGGGAATTCTTTTACATAAATTTTCCTATATAATCACAATACAATTATCTCAAGCAATTTAGCATTGATAAAATATTATTTAATATATTATTCATATTCAGAATTCTCCCATTTTCCCACTAATGCCACTTACAGCTTTTAATTTTTTTTTCAGTGTAGGCTCCAATTGAGGATCATTGAGTAGTTCTATAACCTTTTTCCTTCCTTCCCCCTCCCTCCCTCCCTCTCCTTCTCTCTTTCTCTCTCCCTTTCTTCCTTCCTTCCTTCTTTCTTTTCTTTTCCTTTCTTTCTTTCTCCTTTCCTCCCTTTCTCCCTCCCTCCTATCCTTTCTTTTTTGTCTTTTATGACATTGACTTTTTTAAATAGTCCAGGCCAGTTTTTCTGTAGAATATTCCTCAATTTGGATTCATGTGATTATTTCCTCATTAGTAGATTCAGGTTACATACTTTTGGCAGGGATTCTACATAGGTGAAATTTTTTTTTTCCTGTACATCAGATCGGGGGCACACAAGCCTAATT